ACCCTCCCCCCTCCCCTTCCCCCCTCCCAGCCCCCCCCCCCACACCTCTCCCTCCCCTCCCCCTGTTTCAATTTCATCCTGGGGAGAACCCTGTAATACATGAACAGCGCATGCGCAACAACTGCTCGGACGAATAGCGCATACGAACAGCTGTCCGATGCTCGGACGAATATCCACGTCCTTTGTCAATTCAATACTCGAGTCATTATTGCACAACCGCCAAACTACGAAATCAAAAGACCTAATTCTGCCGGTGCTCACAATCATGTGATTGTCAATACCCGTACTTATTCCGTGCACAATACTGTCTGCGTGAAACTATACCCAGCATACAAGGATTTGGGTACTTAGATACCTTACAACTTTCAATTTTGTGTATAACTATAACTATAATAAGTTATAACCTGTCGTAAGTTATACCGGTATACGTCATTTTAACGGCACTTACATCTTTTTCGCCACATCTGTTTCTCTGTACTGCTCCTTCACCATTTTGATGCGTTCCCTTGTATATTTCGTGCAACGTAGTTGTAGTTTTACCCTAAATTAAATGCGCTAATAAGGTTGTACAATTCAGATGTAATCGTGAAATACCATAATAACATTACAACATGCTCAGTGTACTTGGGGGCTGACATTTTCGTAACTCTAGTATCGCCATCTGTCGTGCACGGGAAGAAATACTTTCACTGTTGAACTTGCTCGTGCTTTTATTTACTTTGAAGAGTTGTAATACGAGAACTGTAGAAATAATATATTGCCTAAATATCTACATCGGCACGATGATAATGACGAGAATGTATATAGAGTTCAGTGGTGTTTAATTATAATAATTATGTGATGGGCGCAGTCAACTAGTGGATGGTGCTGCCCCGTTCGCAGATTCTGACCCTGGCACTGAACACAAACACTCAGTTGCATCTCAGACTCCAGAGTTGCATAACCTTCATTTATTATATTTATATTTATTTTAGTGTGTATATACATCCAGTTTTCTGCGCTTAAGCATAAAACGTGACAAGGCGAAATGATAGCTAGCTTAGCCGTGTAACATTCGCTTACGCCTTATGATTAATAGATTTCACTTTTCTCTCAATTTGTAAACAAACATGCTGTAGCCGCTGTGTTTAAAGGTACGGCAGAGGGTAAATAAGGCCCTAGAGGAGCAATGAGTGCAGATAAACGTAGAAGAGCTCGTGTACAGGGAGGCTGGTCCAGTGGTCTCGGCAGCAGTCAACAGCCGCGAAAGAGTACAGAGTTTAACTCCAAAGTCAAAACGACGTCAGATGTTGCTGTCCCGTCATTTTCATATGTGAAACCACAACCAAATTCTGATGTGAGTATCACGTTCTTCTTTAGCTCTAGTACTGTAGTAGTACTATAGCCCGCTTACATTAACTGCCGCTGGCAGTTACACTGGCGCAGTTTCCATTGGCAACCTCCATTTAATTGACGAGTAACCACGGTGCTTCTTTAACAATTCCTTAGTAGGCACGCGTGGTTGCTCACGTGACGTTGTGCGTACATGTATATTGCGTAGTGGAATTGATTGCAAAACTAACTAGGGTCTGATTGAAAGCACGTATAGGTGTAGAAACTAAGCTGAAAGAACCACGAACAATTGGCATTCTATTGTGTAAATACCTGTTGGTAGAGAAGGCATATACTAAAAGTTGACGACGTAATCGTTATTTGTGTTGATGTATCTATATAGTTATCATGGTGTTGCGCAGGGGTGTCATATAAATGACTTTGGAAGTGTATATAGCTGCTATCTGCTCTACGTACCGGCATCAGTTTTATTAGACGTGATAGAGTTAGCTTGTGTATAATCGTTCTTCATATGCGAGCATGCAGTGCCTGTAGTACTTTTTTACAGAATATGTTTTCTGACCGCACAAGAGTCGTTGCACCTCACATCTGCCTGGATGATTTATACCAAACCTGCGACCACACCGACTGCGAAAGGTTTGGAGACGTGAAATACGTCGATAGCCATTGCCACTTGGATCTGATCAACGACAACGAGAAGATTAATCCGCAATCGATCACATATCCGCGACAGTTTGCCGGCGCGGTGACTAACTTCTGCTTTCCCGATCGTTGGAAGAAAGCACCGCGGTACGTGGCATCGTGGATTCATAGAACTATTGGTGTTCATCCGAAGCTCGCCGATAGATATGCGGACGACTCGAAGATCCGACACGAAATGGAGATGATCATCCGTGAAGCGGAGGGAGGAGAGAGTAGGATCGTGGCCGTCGGCGAGTGCGGGATGGACCTACGATACAAGGGTGCCGACGCTGCCCGGCAGGAAAAGCTGTTTCGGTGGCAGTGCGACGTCGCGCGGGGGTACGATCTCCCTCTCGTCATACACAGCGGGGCGTGCTCGGACGCGCACATTCGTCTCACGCGGTCTGCCCTGCCGCCCGACTACCCCATCCACGTCCACTGTTTCACGTACACCCCCGAGGAGGCCTTCAAGTGGCTGTCCGTGTCTAAGAATCTCTACCTCGGACTGACAGGGTACGCAACACAAGAGCAGCACGCCGACGGCACCGGAGCCGTCGCAGCGAACCCCCGAATTCCCCTCGAGAGACTCCTGCTGGAGACGGACTCTCCGATGAACAAACCCGTCGTGCGTCTGCGGGAGGTGTCGCGCAAGGTGCCTCTCTGTCATCCGGGACACGCGTTGAACGTTGCCTGCGAGATTGCCGCTCGAAGGCGGGTCGGCGTCGCTGAAGTCCTGCAGACGACAACCGCCAACTTTCAGAGACTGTACCGTGTCGAAATAGATTAGTCACCCTCTCCACCCGTGCATGTCTTAATTGTTCTAAGTACATCGTGTTTTACTTGTATGAGCTGTAAGTGTTTTAAACTAACCTGACATTGTGTCTAATCGCTCATGGTGATGAATCTGTATTACTATATAGAACGTATACGTATATATATATATATATATGTATTATGTAATATGTATATATATATGTATATATATATATATATTCATACCTAGAAAGCTTTCACATGTACTTAAATTCAGCCTTTGTTAGTCATAGACAATTTCAGGAGTGAAAGTATAAAACTATAATGTATATAAGCTTGACATATATAACATGACACTACACCTGTGTTTACTCATGGTGACTTTATTGCTTGTATGTGTGTGCATTTTTACTATAACAACATATTACATTTTAGTCGATTTTTTGCACAACTTTCATACATTGTTTTTATTCTTTTAGTATGATCACGAACATATTTATATACCTACACGCTCAAACGTTGATGCATTGTCTTATATTAGTGATTTTATAGAATTCAAGCAGAATGTATATGTTCGCACGTTTTATGGATTAATTATTATGCGATTTTTACTCGACCATCATATGGCTGTAGCCAGTATTTCATAGCAGAGCATGTGTAAAGCTAGTGTAAACAATACTAAGTTGTATAGAAACCATTTGTATTGAAAATAAATTTGCATTGAAAATTGATTACTTCATTACATTGTTTCTAATTATTTATCTTGGACATTTTTTTGCTAAATTATAAAACAATAGCCAAATGTCTTTAATACTCATTGACATAAAGGATGCAATGCATGTTTGCTTAACATAACTCATTTGCTGAACTTTATGGATGCAAGGCACATCTAATGCATTCACGCACGCGCTTGCACATGCTATTGCACTTGCACATGCACTATACTGTATGTATAGCTCTATAGACAGTCGGACAATACTTCGATTTCTTAGATAAATTATGGTTCTTATTGCAGGAAATGAGGCGTGCACCAGATTTACTCACTATAAAGTAAGTGATCACAACAGTTTTACCAAGGTATATGGTCACCGTTGTGTAACTAACGCTCACTGAACTACGGCACATAGTCTCTAAAGATAACAGCAATGTTGGTCTGTATAAATATTATTTTAACTTTCAAAAATTGCATTTGATAACAAGTTTTCTGTGGTGTTTTGTTCTTCTAGCAAATGTGGAGTATATGAAGTCAGCAATGGGCCATCAGGAGTTTCCAGGTATGTTGAAGCATATAGTTTTACTGTAATCTCAGTCTAATAACATAAAGTTACATGGCCAGTGTCTTCATCAGTGATGTCATCACAACTTTATCACTAATTTAGCAGATGCGTGCGTGCGTGCTATACCGCGTGCCTGCGTACGTACCCGTCTGAGCCTATCTTACTAGATAGGAATAACCATTTGTCTCTGACGCATTGGACGCGGGACAATGCTGACAAATTCACAACGAGAGTGAGGCCATTTGTATTGACCTGCGCGCCATCTAACGAGCAATTAAATAAGCCTGCTCTACTTACTATTGTCATGCATCATTTCAGAATTCAATTTTGGCCGGATTTCATTGCTCGTAGTGAGACATCGTGGATGTACGAACAATTGATGAGTGAAATCCCCTGGGTGCAGAAGACAGAAATGCAGGACGGGGTGGAGGTTGCACAGCCGAGAATGGTAGCGTGGTTCGGAGACGTGCCCTACTCTTACAGTGGCGTATCACACAAACCGAATAACCAGGTAACATTCTGATGCAAAGGAAAGAATGCAATACATTGCAGATTGCTTGATCAACAGTTTCTACTAGATGAAGGTTCCTCAACACTATTGTGCATCTATTAGATTTTTTCTCCATGAAAAAGACTGTTCAGTACTTGTATTTATATTCGAATTACATGCAATAAAGATTTAATAATAATGATAATAATAATAATAATAATAAGGGATGATTACCATTTTAATTTTAGGAATATCATGTGGAAATGCTGCCCGTTCTTTGCATGACATCTCTGTAAACGTTTTTGCAGTGGTCCCCGTTGCTGGTGATGCTTAAAGAGATGATAGAGGAGAAGGTGGGCACGTCTTTCAATTCAATGCTGGCCAACCTCTACCGGTAAATAAAGTACTATATAGTTGTCATATGTAGAGTGATATGTATGTATATATATGTGTGTGTGTGTGTGTGTGTGTGCGTGCGTGCGTGTGATACAGTGAAAAAAATACACGGGGGCTCGGGGCGATTTAGCCCCCGAAATGCCAAAAAGAGCCCCCGTAAATTTGCATAGAGTTTAATGCAAACCAAATTTTTTAGTGCTATTTTCATGCACGCAAGCTTGAAAAGTAGCCCCCGAAAAATTAATTTTAATTTTTTCCCTGGTGTGATATGTATGGTATGGTATCGATTGTGCTGCATTTTGTTGGTGTCCTTGTGCAATCTAACCGCTATAATAAAATGCAAGCAAGTTCAGTAGTGTCTCCCATTTAATAACGACACTAATTTATCTCATGTACCGTGTAGAGGCTTGACTTCGCTAGGTAAATGGCAAGTCATTGTGTTTTGTATATCTGACTAGGAATGGCAAAGATAGTGTGGCCTGGCACTGTGATGACGAACCGGAACTAAAGGGAAATCCAACAATCGCCTCGCTGTCGTTCGGAGAAACTCGAGACTTCGAACTGAGAAAAAAACCGCCCCCTGTAAGCAGAGTGAGCTAGACGTAGGTTAGCATTTCATCTTGTATGCAGAATCAGACTGAATATGGACAGCACTGGAAAACTAGTTTTAAATTACACATGGCAGTGCAATCTCGTAAAAAAACGTCGTAAGTAAGAAAAAGTAATACTGTAAGTAAACGGTATAAGCTGAAGAGTACTTCCGATTAGTAGTTTCGTTCAATGTGGCAGTGATTTAAATGAGTTGTTTTCCTCTAATGTGAATGCAGATGGAAAATGGAGACTACACTTACATGCAGCACGTGCGAATTCCGCTAACGCCCGGAAGCCTGCTACTGATGGACGGTGCCACCCAGGAAGACTGGCAGGTGTGTGTGAGATCAATGCTTATTAAGGCGAATGATGCAGGGCTGCCGTTTGCCACCTTCGCAAAATGCGATGAATAAATAACAGTGGCGATTTTACTACAATGAGTGGCGAATACAAATGGCGAATGGTTTAACTGCCCACAAAATTACGTTTGAATAATGAAATCGTCAAGTGTTGTGTGGTAAAGTGTTTTCGAATGCCTCTTGCCATACTGATCACCTGTTTATATGCCTTGCTTAGTCAGCATGATATGAAAAGTGGAGCAGTGCGCGTATTGCTATCAGTTTTTATTGGTGCTAAAAAATAATCTTTGCTGTTTTCTCATATAGTAGTTGACTGCTCCCTTATATCTTATTAATAGTACGGCAATATGCCATGCAAGAGCTAATTTCCTCCAGTTACTAACTAGCAAAATACTATCGTGTCATTGCCATATCATACTATATTCCTTATGAACAAAAATAAACTCAGTTCCTCCCATTTCAATGCGCGTTGTGCTATAAAAGGTATTTGAAATACCGTCCATGTTGTTCAAACTATTCTCCGATGTTTGTTGATCGAACGTTTGCGTTTGCTCTGGTCCGAAGCAAATCCGGTTACAAGCGGTTGCAACCGCTAGCATACCATGTGATGTTAGCCTCGTTAACCGTATCGGTGGCAAAATTTGTTTTTGGCAAACAATTGTGCGTTGGCGCGCAGATGTGCCGAGATTTTTGCAGCCGTGCTTTCCTTTAATTGTGGTTTTAGAAGCAAGACCGCCGCGTGAAATGGGAGGAACTAGAGTTTAAGTCTTTGTCATATAGGTAGTGTATGATTATACATGACACCAGAAGGTATTTGCTAGTCTAAGTACTGTGAGAATATTGAGCGTTTGGATGCCGCATGAGAGGATCTGCGGCGCTTTTAAAGGTCGTCACTGCAAGAGATGCTGCATTAACGATAACAGGTATTATGAGTGTTGGGATTCGCCGGTGGCCCTATGCGGAGCAGTGTTTATGTGTTCCTTTGTTGTCGTTTCAGCATCGCATTCCAAAAGAGTACCACGACCGAAATGCACGGATAAACTTGACGTTCAGGATGACCTATGCAATATGATTGCTACGCACGGGATAAACTCGACACTGAAACCGTTGCACCATACAATTCATATGAAATTTCAATGATTGCTCATATGTACCATAATTGAAAGAGAAATATACATTTTCGTAACATGTAATCTTGTGGTAATTTTACGAATTTGTCAATGCATGGGGTGATGCACCTATAACCGAATAACACAACAGCAATATTCCCTATAAAGACATTGTTAGATGAAATTAAAGTTCTTCACAAAATGCTAAGCTCACAACCACTTGCATTCATACCAACTTATTTACAAGCAAATCCAACAAATTGCAAATACTATTCATAGATCCAATATTTAATGAAATGGCTAACATCACTATTCGACATTGTGGAAGAGAAACTCAGCAATTTTATTTCTAAATTTTCACTGTCCACGTGTTTGGCAACCCTACCGAGATGAGAAAGTGAATGTCATGATAGATGAAGTGGAAGCAATAAAAGAATGATCCAATCAGCTGGATGTGGATGGCAAACGGTTCAGACGGTGGTCAATGCTATGTACATTATTGTTGAGGTAAGGCCGGCCGGCCGGCCCCCCTACTACTAGTCTTGGCCATAGTGTGCAGGCTTCTTCGCTAACTGTAAGGTTTCGTTGCTTTCCGCGACACCCGATGGCGCCACCCGGTCGAGCACGCACAAATGGCTAAGCACAGACAAGCCTTAGGGTCTATACTACCTGACCGTTGTCCCGGTAAGACGTTTGGTATTTGGCCTGATGTCGCGCCTCCGGACCTCGCGCTAGCCACCGCCCCGAGCGCGTTTAGTAAGCTACTGCCGGCCCCATGCAGTCGACCGCAATGATGTTCACGCCGTGTTGCCGGTTCGGTGTCGTCGTAGAGTTAGTCAACCATTGCGAGACGGAGGGAGCAGACATAGAAATACTTCACTCAGACAGCTACAACGGGGTAACCCACCCCTTTGCCATGCCGGCCTTCATACGTTCACGTTGAATAAAACCAGTGCACACCGACTGGTAAACACAGAGGTTAAACAAGTAGAATAATAACGAACCTGCATGCCGGGCTAGATGGCCTAATCAGGTAACCGGCGCCTCTCCTCTCTCGTGCAGCTGCCACGAGAGTTAATAGCTTCTCAATACCCGTACTTCTACCTATGGATATTAAAACTAACCTTGTTTAGATATGACTACAATAGTAACCTGTATTAGTTACTTCACGCCCACAACGCGGGACAATACGACAGTGCCTACTCACCAATTAACCCGACAGCGCCTGGTCCTCTCTCACCCGGAGGCAAGGCACACAGCAAACGCCCCGTGACCATGATACATACCCGGGGTACGTATCTGTATGCTAACTGTCACCATAACTCCACACAGCACAGCGCATCGCAGCTCACAGGCCACTCTATCAGCATGCATAAGCAGCGAGTAGACGCGGCTACTACCCTGCGCGAGTCCTTCCTCACACTCGGTCTTACAGGACGAGTACTGGCAACACTTAGTCCTCCCTCAAACCGATTCCCGGCCGATAGAACTCATACCGTGTCTCTCGACACGTCACTGTCCTAAGCTGTTTACACGGCCAGCGCCCTACACGGGCCGGCTGGAAGGGGTGCTACCCAATGGCTGCCCCCAATGAGGACTCGACTATCTACATCGTTTAAATTGATGATTCTGGCAAAAACAACAGAAAACGCACACTAATAAACACACAGACGATCAACAATAATTATACATAGTACAAATCACGGATCACCCACACTCTGGTTCCCAGGGAGGCCACCCTGGCTAGGAACCGCGGCTGGGTCCGGTGGCCCGCTACACTACGTGCGCAAACCGGGCTGCGCCCGAGCCGCGTTTGGGAAAACTGCCCCCTCGTCGGTTTCAACTCGTTGCGGCCAGCACGTGTTTTTTTTAATGGAATGGCTACAGAGGAACAGCGGCTGAGTGAGTCACTTTGGAGGCGCTGCTGCTACTGCAATGTAGGGCCACCTCGGCAAGAGGTTCCATTTGACGCCCGGCAAGCAAGAACAGATCCCGCTACCTGACTACAGCACAACACGGTATCTATTGACTATATATAACAACGTTATATATAGTTTTTAAGTAGTTATATATAACTATATATAATGTGTTATATATAGTCAATAGATGCGGGAGTGTTGTAGGCTGCAAGGTGGCCGGACTTGTTTCTTGCTGCAGTGATTCGACCAGGCGCCCTGGACCCCCATTTCCTCTCCCCCTCCCCCTCCCCCTCCCCCCTGTTTCAATTTCAAACTCCTGGGGAGAACCCTGGTGTGGACATCAAAGAGGAAAGAAGAGTGGCAAGCGATAGTGAGGGAGAGAGATACAAAACTATTCAAAGTTAATAAAACTGATCAATAAAAAACAAAGGTTAAGCATGATCTGAATGAACGCACAGGCAGCTTGATAGCGTTTCAAATAAAATAATATACGCAGGGTCCGTGTGTGCTGTGCACGGGCGACAGTTAAATATATGCTAATATTTTATTGAAGGCGCGTGGCTATCCTCGGTACAGAATTATTTATGGAGCTAATTCAGTAATTCTTAGGACATTCAACTGCGCGCAGGCGCAGATAATAACATTATAGCTAATATAATATTATTCTACGCTTTTAGGGAGTCGACTACACTCTAGCCTAACGCCTAACCCTACACACTAGACGAACCCTAGCGCTAACACAAACTATAAACGGACTCCATTCTTTATATAGCCTTATAGGTAATATATCTCTTACAAAAACAATCTGTGGTGTTTAACGAAATACGCAACGCATGCGCGGTTGTAGTCGTAAGAATAGTCCAAAAATAATTCTTACGACTCGTCGTAAGAATAGCCACTTCCTTTATTAAAACGCTTCAAGTGCCTGTGGGATTAACGAGTGTGGAGTGGAGCAACTTGTGAGTGATGTACTTTGTAGGCCTATCGACTATTTCTTACTTATATTTAGTTATATTATATATACACAAAACAGGCATCACGCGCACGTACTGTGCTATCTCGTTCTTGACCCCTGTTGTTGGAGCTACATAATAGTATCATTATTTAGCCGTAGTAATACGCATTTTGATTTAGGTATAAAGGCGTATGTTAATAATGAAGAAGGAATCTATGCGATACATTGCAGACGATCCATTGACATTGTAAACAAGTGAGCAGTAGGCCTAGACATCAGCACCACCTGTTAGTAAACGAATGAGACTTATCATTTACGTGAAGTCATCAGTACAAATTTCATGAACCGCTACGTAAACTTCGAGTTGCTACTAAACTTTTAGTTACATTCCAGTTTTTGCATAGCTTTTCAACTGTATCATGAGCGTTTCAACTATAAACCTTGGATAAAGTAAGATTGTTTAGTTTGAGGGGATTCTGGTAAATTGTTATTCTTGTAGTTGTATACACTACCACTGTACCACTGACCCGTGGCAGTGGCAGTGAGTAGGCTGTACTGACTACTGAGTACTGTACATATCGAATCATGATTGACGTGTCACTACTAGTACTAGTACTACTCTCTGGCACTACTAGTAATAGTACAGTAACTAGTAACTAGTACTACACTTACGGACGCTCATAGGGTCTATGTCCCCCAGGTTACTGCCGGAACATACCCTGGTCACTATTTGATAGGGTTAGGTTAGGGTTAGGGAATAGCGTAGGCGACTCCCTAGACTCGTTAGTAGAGTAGGCGAGGTACGGTCCGGCATATTAGATAGTACCAGGGTTAAATCCTTCCCGCGCCTTCATACGCATAGCTACATGGCGCATAGGGCGGTGCCTATCTTCGTTTCAATAACCCTGAGGCCCCGCAGCTGCTTTTACAGTAAATGCTACAGTAGGGGGTTAGTCCACTGGTAGGATATAGTATAGTACAGTACCAGGGTAGGTACGTTCCGGTATACCGGACCGTACCCAGGGTACGTACCGGCAGTACCCCGGTCCTCGGGGGACATAGAGCTTCTTAGCCTTACTGACTTAGTGCCAATAGTGGCCAATAAAGCCAATGAATTGAGGCTTGGAGAAGTTAGTGCTCAATTCGCAATTCTTAGGGAAATGTTGGAGGTTCTTTTTGACTAGAACTAGACTGAATTGCAAAAGTAGCTATCTATATCTTCTATCTTTTTAGGCACACTGTCGCTCGTAGGGTACGTCTATGTCCCCTGACCTCTGTTGACACTGGCTCGTTTAGCTATTTCTGACTAACCCTAACCCTAACCCTAACCCTAAATTAACCCTATATATATATATATATATATATTAGTCAGAAATAGCTAAATGCAGCCAGGTCAAACAGAGGTCAGGGGACGATAGACCTTATCTGCCACACTGTCATTTTCATCTACCCAGGCTTAATCCACTCGCCCAGCTTTCACTGCAATGAAAAACATCTTTACCTGGACAGTTGCCGTCAACTCACAATTTATTCACCCATACTCATATACTCCTATTCTTTAGTACAGTATAGTTTTATATTTGGCCTGTGAAGAGTTATCATTCCGAGATTATAAGAGGGTGACCACATCTGCTCAACCTCAACAGTTTATAAAATAGCGCTGCGATTTGTAGCCTCTTCAGGGGCCGTAGCCAGCCTTTCCAGAGGCGGGATTCCTTCCAAGAGGGAGATTCCTTCCAAGAGGGGGGATTCCTTTCAAGAGGGGGATTCCTTCCAAGAGGGGGGATTCCTTCCAAGAGGGGGGGATTGCCTTCCAAGAGGGGGGGTTCCTTCCAAGAGGTGGGATTCCCAAACCTACTATATACTAATAAAACTTCGTTAAATTTTCGTTTCATGCTTTTATTACATAACTGTATCAGATATGTGCTATTTTGATACAAACCAGGGGGGATTCCAGAATACCTTGGAATCACCCCTGTCTATGCCCGCGCCTGCTCTTCGCTCCTGCTACAGCCTGTAGCATAACATCAAAAATAGAGTAACATACAATATGGATAATGTACAATACAGGCTATCCTGTAGTACAGGATAGCCATATCATATCAAGAGCTATTATATAACCCATTATTATGTTATTTGGCTCTCTGATCATGTCCCTGTAACAGGAAGTGAAGGGGCTACACCTGTAGAACTATTATATCATATGCTAACAGTTCAACAACAGCTTTTTTACTTGCGACAGGCGTCGGGAAGTCTTCCCTAGGCATCTGATCTGCCACAATGAAGTCATTCAGATCCTTCATGGACCATTGGTGTTGCTGTGGATCGTGAAGGTAAAATATCGTAAGAGGTGACAGTTACGTTAGCTTTGCTATGATGTATCGTAAATCAGGGGGCCACATAAAGCGAAACCGTGCGTAACGTTGCGGGGGGTCGTACCAAGCTCACAGTATCGCATGTATTCTGGTGTACCTGAGGCAGGGCTAACTGTAGGGTTGGAGAGAGAAGAGAGAAGAGAGAGAGAGAGGAGAGAGAGAGAGAGAGAGAGAGAAAGAGAAAGAGAGGAGAGAGGAGAGAGAGAAGAGAGAGAAGAGAAGAGAGAGAGAGAGAGAGAGGAGAGAGAGAGAGAGAGAAAGACGAGAGAGGAAGAGAGAGAGACATTATCATGACATACACTATAGTCACTAGCGAGGAGGTGAGATACCCAGGGTGCGAAATTAACTCGAGTCCGGAGTCAAATACTCCCTGATTTATTGTCGGACTCCCTGATTTGACATATATTTTAGGAGTCCGGTGTGACTCCTGAATATTCTGCCATTAAGCTATTCGTTCCAGAGCACGGCCTCGCGAATTACCGTATTTTTTCAGTAAAAGTCCAAAGAAAATTGGAAGAGACGTGCAACCCGCATGAATCTTAAAAATAAGCCACTGCGTTATTGTTAATATCTTTAATTTAGAATTAATTGCTACGAAAAAATGGGGAACTATATATGATTTACTGCTGTCTCGGGCCTTAGAATCACTGCTATGCTCTTCATATTGCCGAGATTCTATGGCGAGATTATTTTAACCTGTTACTTTACACAAAAATTGTAGGTTGATGTATAGCTAGATTTCGTTTGTCTGATTGCTTTGTGAAAAAAAGACGTGTTCTTTATTGCAGCTACATGAGTATAAGAGGGAACGCGGACGAACGGAGTATGTTTGTGGAGCTGTGGGATATAGGTGGATCGAACAGCTACCGCAACAGCCGATCCATCTTCTACACACCAGTGCATGGTGAGTGCTGCCATCTAGTAGAAACCATCGCAAATTTCGTTTGAATCGATCGACTTGTGCTTGGAGATAAAAAATCTCTGAATGGCGGTCCAGTTGGACTGTGGGGCGAGGGGCGGGGTGTTAAGCTGATGACCCCCGGCCACTCCCCGTGTGGGGGGGATTGTTTCACCTAGGTGACACTGAGAAGAAACTCTAATAACTTTTCGTAATAGTTTTGTTGGTGTGTTTTTTTTATAAGGATTACATGCAAGGTTTGGTGTTTTTATTGTTGAGTTACATGCAATGAAATTACACACGTCGTATAGAAATTTCACAGTTGGGGAAGTTGGCTTCGAAAAGTTTAACCCTACTCCAGCTACCCCATTTATCAGTCCCAGTCTCCTTCATTCCCCTTACACCTAACACACGCGTAATGTTACGTACGTGCAGTTTAACAAGTCACATTTTGTTCGACGTCGACTAAACGTGTTTTTTCATCCTCCAGGTTTGCTGCTGGTGCACGACCTCACGAACAGAAAGTCGCAACACAACCTGCGGAAATGGCTCGGGGAGGTCCTGAGCAAGTCGACGAACACGCCCTTCAGCGAAAGGTACATGCGCAGTGTCCGAAAATCACCGCCTGCTCCCCCCCAGACCAAGACTCATGGTTCCTGAGGACTGGCGGAGTTTTATGGATTTTGCTATGGGTTATGTAGTGGAAATCAATTTTTTTTTTAATTGGGACTGGCTGGATTTTAAAACTTATTTCCAAGATCTTTGTGCGTCTTTTGGAAAAGTTGAGACTCCAGAGATAAGCGAGCCGAGGGCTAGTGTGATACTCTGTGAAGCTGGTGAAATTATAATAAGATTTTCGTTGCATTTTAAGCATTCTATTTGTTGCATTTGCCAAACAAGTGATTGAATGCTTCTGAGAAATAGACAAAGCCAGCAAACCTGTTGGGCCTCAGGAAGCACCTGTTGCTAGCATGTTGACAAATAAAGAACTATCGTGCATGACACTGCCTGCCAACGTTTGTCTTGACAATTGTGATTTCTTGCATTTTATATCTTGCATGATCTTGCAAATTTGTCGACAAAGTGCATTGCTAATATACCGTGCGAGCATTGTGCACTGGCTTGATGTTTTCTAATACAATTACCAGGAGTGTTATTCGTGATGATAATTTTGGCTGAATTGCATGGCCTTTGCATATCTGTTCGTTAGCAGAGCTTCGCTTGACGTTCGACTAACGACCCCGTCAGAGACACGAACTGCCATCCCCGCCGCCGCCAGCTAACAACTCCTTCGCCGCTAACAGTCGAGCGTACGTATGCATGTAACGCGCCGAATTTTCTCTCTTTTTTGCTCGTCGCCACCGCATGTGTCTCCGCCGTCGCCGCAACAGCGAGAGTGATTATGATCCCGAACAATTTGCTGGTTGCAGTCAGTATCCGATCCTCGTCGTCGGAACGAAGGCCGACCTCGCGCAGGGGGCGCTGGACGCGTCCGGCCGCCACCGGGCGTCGTCGGTCGCCGAGGACTGCCTCGTCGACGAGATGAACATCGTACGTAGGTGGCGCCGCCGCCGGTGCTGTTAACGTTAGCGTTACTATTGCTAGTGGTGGTTTACTGCTGCTATTACTATTGCTGCTGCTATTATTACAACTAGTAATATTACTGTTGCTGCTACTGTTAGTATTTATTACTACTTTTGCTATTATTATTAATATTACTATTGCTGCTATTGTTACTCTTAATTACTATTACTATTGCTATTGCTATTAATATTAATATTGCTATTACTATTACTATTGCTATTTAAATATTGTATTACATTAATATATATTAATATTGCTGCTACTGTTACTATTAATAACTATTACTATTGCTAATAATATTACTATTCTCATTACTTTTAAATTGACTACGTCACGAATTTCATAATAAAATTTGTAAAAAAAAAAAAATTGACATTTTTTACTATTAAAAGTAAGAACTAACGTTACTAAATAATCCTCAAACTCTCACCTGATAAAAATGTTTCACGTTGGTTGAATTTTGCAAAAATCTAAACGATTTGGTAATTTCTGTTGTCTAACACTATTCCCCCAGTACTGTTCAGATACTGGCGTTTCTCTATTTTTCACCGGCAAATTAGGGCATATAAAGAAGGTATATAAGCATGAAAAGTAAACAGAAACACTAATTGTATTTTTATACATTTTATTTTGTACAAATAACACAAATATACTACTTGATGGTGCTAGAAATTCGTGACGTAATCACTTTACTACTACTATTAATATTACTATTGCTGCTTACGTTATGTAAAATAACATGTATTCTTTATGTTATTTATCAATAGGACTGCCACAATACAAAGTACGTTGCTCCCGGCTCAAGCAACGCCGTGAAAATCAGCCGGTTCTTCGATAAGGTATGCGTTAATAGTACTTGTAGTGACATAATTGCATTAATTACTTCATAATACTTGTATGGTATTTGTATTAATTGTTAAATTACAGTACGTGTAGTAATATAATTGTATTATTAACCTCATAGTAGCTGTTTGTGTAGGATTTTGTACTGTTATGGTTTCTGTTTTGAGCATGATTTGACCTAATTCAAACTGAGAACTTTGTGAATAGTTTAGCAATTGATGTAGGTCTCTACATACCCTATAGGAGCCAAACGAGGTAGGGTGGTAACATTACAAAAAAAGTAAAAAAAGGTGTTGAACCCTTTGCTGGTGGGATAGCTACCATGTGCAATACCAGGGCACGTGCAGTTCTGTCATGTTACCTTGCAATTTAGAAGTAAAGAGATAGTTATCAAGGACGCAGACTTTAATTGTGGCAGTTACATACAGCGCAGTTTGTCCAGACAGTCTGGCAGAAATCTGCTGGATCAATAGGCAATGTTTGAACGTACAGTCGGGAGCTTAACACATAGTTAACGGCTCCTTTACCACAATTGCCGCGTATTTAGCACCGAATTTATTGTGTACATTATCGATGTACTTTTGTCGTCAAACGCGAAATGTGTAGCGCACGTATGGGCATAAATAGTATAACGGTCACGTGTGCGCAATAAATTCCCAGTGGCTTCGATGATCGGAGTTAACGTTGTTTACGACTGCGACTTGTTATTGTTTACGACGTGCGACTTGTTATTGTTTACGATGTGCGACTTGTTATTGTTTACGACGTGCGGCTTGTTGTTTACGACGTGAGGTTTGTTATTGTTTACGACGTGCGGTTCGTCATTGTTTACAGCCTGGTGATAGAGAAACAATTCTACAGCCACACGCGCTGCCCGCTGATATAATGATCGGAGTTATTGTTTACGACGTGCGGTTTATTGTTTACGACTTCGGCTTGTTATTGTTTACGACGTGCGGTTTGTCGTTGTTTACGACTGCGGCTTGTTGTTGTTTACAACGTGCCGTTTGTTATTGTTTACGACGTGCGGTTTGTCTTTGTTTACGACGTGCGGTTTGTCGTTGTCTACGACGTGCGGTTTGTTACTGTTCACGACTGCTGCTTGTTATTGTTTACGACGTGCGGTTTGTTGTTGTTTACAGGTGATAGAGAAACAGTTCTACAGCCACGCGCCGTCGGCCGGGGCCACGATAGGAAGCTTCTTCGACCGAAGGAAGCCCGCGCCGCTCCAGCGTCCGTTCTCGCCTCCCGCGCGCACGAAGCTGCTGCACGCCGACTGAGGTACCAACGCGCGGAGGAACGCCGGCTAGCCGCCGCGGCCACGACGCACCGTCACAGAGGAAGGGTCGAGGCTACCGGTCTACTTGTGTGATTTTTTTTCGCGATCGGAGAAGGGTGTGCGAGATACGGACGACGGCGAAGACACCGACCTTTGACATCTGAATGATAGTTTGGCACCATTTGGCGAGAGTTTATCGATTACGCGAGTGTTTTGCCGATTTGCCATCTCGGATTTTTCTCTCGGCAGCGTAGGACAGCGATTGTGCGGGGAATTTCCGAGGAGGGTTCCAAAGTCGGTCGAACCGAGTGCAGTGCTCGAATGGTGCAGGAAACGCTGGTGTATCCGCGTCGCATGTGACTCGGCATTTACGCGAGTTGAGGAGGAGAGAGAGAGAGAGAGAGAGAGAGAGA